TGAAATTGATGAAATATTATGTAATGGGAAAACAATTGATTTTAGTTTTTATGTGTGCAATCTCTTCACCTGGAATTTCTTCTTGTTAAAGTTCTTCACACCTTTTAAATAGTTTGTGCTGCATCTTGGCAAATTAATACTTAAAATAATTATTCCCATCCCAAATTTAACATGGCTCTACTGAACAGTTCTCTGCAATTTTATACATAATAATTAACACAAAATATAATAAGAGAACATGTAAGAATCATCAGTAAACTTTCTGGAATTTTTGAGCTATGTTAGACTTGTAAAATTAATTTGTATTAGTATAGTTTTCTGCTTTTTTCCTATAGCTTTCTTTGAAGACCTCTGTTACATTTTTTTCTTAATTTTTATTTATTTTCCAGAATATTACAGGGGTGCAAATGTTTTGGTTACATGGATTGCTTTTGTACTGCCTGAGTCAAAGTTATAAGTGTGCCAATCACCCAGATAGTGTGCATTGTACCCATTAGGTATGATTTTACCCATCTCCTCCTCCTCCCTCCCACCTGCATGATTTCCCTTGAGTTTTACTTCCATCTGTGCACATGAGTGCTGATCAGTTAGTTCCAATAGTGAGTACATGTGGCGTTTGTTTTTCCATTCTTGTGATACTTCACTTAGGAGGATGGTCTCCAGTTCCATCCAGATTGTTGCAAAAAGTATTATTAATAATTCATTTTTTATGGCTGAGTAGTACTCCATGGCATACATATACCACATTTTATTAATCCACTCATGAATTGATGAGCACGTGGGTTGATTCCACATCTTTGTGATTGTGAATTGTGCTACAATAAACATTCCAGTGCAAGTGTCTTTTTGATAAAATATCTTTTTTTCCTTTGGGTAAATACCCAGTAGTGGCATTGCTAGATCAAATGGTAGGTCTACTTTTAGTTCTTTGAGGAATCTCCATACTATTTTTCATAGAGGTTGCACTAGTTGGCAGTCCCACCAACAGTGTATAAGTGTTCCTTTCTCTCCAAATTCATGCCAGCATCTATTGTTTCAGGACGTTTTGATAAAAGCCATTCTCATTGGAATTAGGTGATATCTCATTGTGGTTTTGATTTGCATTTCTCTGATGATTAGTGACGTTGAGCATTCTTGCATATGTTTATTGGCCATTAGTCTATCTTCTTTTGAAAAGCTTCTGTTCATGTCTTTTGCCCACTTTTTTTTTTTTTTTTTTTTTGAGAAGAGTCTCACTTTGTTGCCCTGGCTAGAGTGAGTGCCGTGTTGTCAGCCTAGCTCACAGCAACCTCAGACTCCTGGGCTCAAGCGATCCTACTATCTCAGCCTTCCGAGTAGCTGGGACTATAGGCATGTGCCACCATGCCCGGCTAATTTTTTTTTCTATATATTTTTAGCTGTCCAATTAATTTCTTTCTATTTTTGGTAGAGATGGGGTCTCGCTCTTGCTCAGGCTGGTCTTGAACTCCTGAGCTCAAACAATCCGCCCGCCTCGGCCTCCCAGAGTGTTAGGATTACAGGAGTGAGCACCGCGTCCGGCCCTTTTGCCCACTTTTTAATGGGGTTGATTTTTTCTTGCTGTTGCTTGAGTTCTTTGTAGATTCCAGTTATTAGCCCTTTACCAGATGAATAGCATGCGAATATTTTCTCCCATTCTGTAGGTTGTCTGTTTGCTCTGTTGATTATTTCCTTGGCTGTGCAGAAGCTTTTTAATTTGATCAGGTCCCGTTTTACTTATTTTTGTTGTTGCTGTGGGTCTTCTTCATAAATTCTTTGCCCAGGCTGATATCTAGAAGAGTGTTTCCAACATTTTCTGTAGAACTCTTATGGTTTCGCATCTTAGATTTAAGTCTTTTATCCATCTTGAATTAATTTTTGTGAGTGGTGAGAGATATGGATCCTGTTTGAGTCTTCTACATGGGCCTACCCAATTTGCCCAGCACCATTTATTGAATAGGGATTCTTTTCCTCAGTGTTTATTGCTGTCTACTTTGTCAAAGATCAGATGGCAATATGTGGATGGTTTTACATCTGGGTTCTCTGTTCTGTTCCATTGGTCTATATCTCTATTTTTATGCCAGTACCATGCTGTTTTGGTCTGGCAGGTGCTAATAAATTAAATGCCCCAAAATGAATCAGAATAAGGGCAAGCAACTGGTACTGCACAATCTAACAATGTATATTCCCCAACAAAAAAGTTCTAAAGTTCCTTTGATACCTTGAAAATTCTGTGTCCTAAAGCTTTCAAATAGTGACATAATTTTCCTTATACATACATATAGCAATCAAAGGTATGGATACATAAATACATGTTTTCTGACTTGCTCTACTATCTTTGCATGTACTGGGGAATTGGCCCCCATTATTAAAAGACTTTGGCCAAAGTTGGAAAAAAACAAGAGATTGATTTCCTGGGGCTAAAAAAGGAGGGACTATGGCCAGTAGTCACATATTCTTCTGCCTAGTTTTTAGTCTAATAGTAGAATTACTCCTAAGAGCCTATTTTCAGAATATACTAAATACCATATATTCAAATTTTGTATTAAACATAGTTTCTTTACCAATTAACTAAAATAACCACATATCAGAGTTCATTGTGGCTGCAGCCTACTTATTTATATAACAAATATAAATTACTAACTTACCTGAACGATTACTTCTATGTTATGTGTCCCATTACTGTAGTTTCTAGGGTTCCACTTCAGGATGAAAATAGGACCAGACAAATGAATAGCCTGCCCTAACTGAACTCCATCAATCTTAACTGTGACAGAAGCAATGGAGGATAAGGAAAAGGCCAAGACTCTAAAATGAGAGCATATATAAAACACATGGTTTTTAGATACTTGTCATTGTTTTTATAAAGGAGAATAAGCCTATTATAACCTGAAAATATATAAGTATAGGCAGAACCATCACATTGTATAATACAACTGTAGGGACCACCATTCATACGATCTGGTTTCTTTCTGAATGGTGGCTTTGGAGTTGTACAATTCAGCAAACCTGAATTGGTAAGAAATTAGGAACTATTCTTTCACTTTTTAGAAAGAAAAATCAATTTTCTTTTGACAAATACAGCTAGAGTAGATTCAAAGTTCTCTCTGAAAAAAACTCCTAAAGTCTTGATTTTTCTTTTAGGAAAAGAATATAGGGTGGACATCTCATTTTGATAATCTAAGGTCAAGGCTACCATCTACTCATTTGGTTCCCACAGTATCTGCCCAGAATAAGGAAGGTCATGATCGGGGCTAGGCTATCAGACCCTTTCAGAGAGTATGATGCCTAAATCTGATATCTAGTTCTCATCAAAAAACCTGAATGACAGATGTGTGTTCTACTTCATTAGTGATCAAAACAATAAATATAAACATCTTGGCATCATTTCTTTCAAGTTAATTAGTAAATATTTTTAAAAGTATAATATCTAATAATGACAAGAGTGCTATGGATTTGGCACTAATATTGCTTGGTAATATTATACATTAGTCTCTATTTTTAAAAGTAATTGGATACCTGGTACACTACTAAGACACTGGTACACTGTAAAATAGTGCAGCCACCACGGAAAACAGTATTTTTTAAGCAGCTCCTTAAAAAATTAAACAGCCTCAGCACAGTGGCTCACACCTGTAATCCTAGCACTTTGGGAAGCTGAGGCACGAGGATCACTTGAGGCCAGGAGTTCAAGACCAGCCTGGGCAACAAAGACCTTGTCTCTATAAAACATTTTTTAAAAAAGTTGGCTGGGCATGGTGGAGCACACCTGTAGTCCCAGCTACTTGGGAGGCCGAGGGAGGAGGATCACCTGAGATCAGGAATTTGAGATTGCAGTGACTTATGATGACACCACTACACTCTAGCTGGGCAACAGAGTGAGACCCTGTCTCAAAAAGAAAGAAATTAAACAAAGAATCACCATATGATCCAGCAATTCCACTTCTGGGTATATATCCGCAAGAAGAGAAATCGGGGACTCAAACAGATATTTGTACACCCATGTATGTTCATAGCAGCATTCTTCAATACAGCCAATAGGGGGAAGCACCCAAGTGTCCACTGACAGATGAGTGAATAAATAAAATGTGGTGTATATATACAATGGAATATTATTCTACTTTAAAAAGAAAGAAAATTCTGACACATGCTACAACATAGATGAACCTTGAGGACGTTAAGTTAAAGGAAATAAGCCAGTCACAAAAGGACAAATATTGAACGATTCCATTTATATGAAGTAGCTAGAGTAGTCAAATTCATAGAGACAGAAAGTATTATAAAATGGTGGTTCCCAAAGGCTGGCAGGAAGGGAGAATGGGAAGTTATTGTTTAACAGGTAAAGATTTTCAGTTTGAGGCCTGGAGTGGTGGCTCATGTCTATAATCCTAGCATTTTTGGAGGCTGAGGCAGGAGGATCACTTGAGGCCAGGAGTTCGAAACCAGCATTGGTACAATAGTGAGACCCCATCTCTACAAAATATAAAAATAAAAATAATTGTCCAGCCATAGTGGTGTGTGCCTATAGTCCCAGCTACTCAGGAGGCTGAGGCAAGAAGATCACTTGAGCCCAGGCGTTCGAGGTTGCAGTGAGCTGTGATCGCACCACTGCACTCCAGCCTGAGCAACAGAGCGAGACCCTATCTCAAAAAAAAAAAAAAAGAAATTTCAGTTTTAGAAGATGAAAAAAACTCTGGAGATGGATAGCAGTAATGGTTGCACGACAATGTAAACTTAAGGTGAACTTAATGCCAGGAACTATACACTTAAAAATGGTTAAAATGGTACATTTTATGCTATGTATATTTTACCATGATTAAAAAGAATAGTGATTTTAGCTCTAAAAAGAAAAAAGCAATCAGGCAATCTTTATCAACAGTCATAAAAGAATTCCAACTTTCTGACCTAGAGTCTCACTTCTAGAACTCTATCTTAAAGAAATTATTCAAGTTAAAGAAGAATTTTATATGCACCAGATGTTCATCCCCAAATAAGAAAAAACCTAAAAGTTCACCCATAAGGTATGAAAATGGTTAGATAAATTGTGGTACATTCTCTGTGTTGAAAAAAAATCAGAAATTAGAATAGACTGTGCCTTATGATTATAACTATATAAAAACATGCTTAAAAGAGAATGCCCGAGAAGGAACACTCAAAAATGCTAACGATAGTTCTATTAGAGGCCAGGTGTAGTGGCTCGTGCCTATAATCCCAGCACTCTGGAAGGCCAAGGTGAGAGAATCACTTGAGGCCAGGAGTTCAAGACCAACCTGGGCAACACAGTGAGACCCAATCTCTACAAAAATTTAAAAATTAGCTGGGCGTGATGGCATGTGCCAATAGTCCCAGCTACTTGGGAGGCTGAGGTGGGAGGATCACTTGAGCCTGGGAGTTGGTGGCTGCAGTGAGCTATGATCATGCTACTACACTGCCGCCTGGATGACAGAATGACACCCTGTCATTAGAAGAAAAAAAAAGTTCTATTAGAGGTGTGGAAAAAAACATGCTTACAATTCCATCACCCTATTTTCCAAAGGTTGTTGTGTTGTATTATTTTTCAAAATAAAATTTAAAAGAGTAATACTTGCTTCAGCAGCACATATACTAAAAATTGGAACAATACAGAGATTAGCATGGCCCCTGTGTAAGGATGACATGCAAAATAAATTTATAAATAATAAAACTAAATTAAATTAAATTAAATTAAAAAGAATATATTTAAAGAGCACCCTCACACTTGAAAAAAGTTATACATCTCTTTGCAAAAGGAATGTTAATGTTCCATTAGGATTCTGTTAATCCACATTGTCAAATTCACATGCCAGCTGAATTTTCAATTCCATAAGGATTATAAAGCTTTTGCTTTTTTATTTTATTTTTTTTGAGATAGGGTCTTGCTCTGTTGCTGGGGCAATCACAGCTCGCTGCAGCCTGAAATTCCTGGTCTCAAGTGATCCTCTCACTTCAACCTCCCAAGTAGCTGGGACTACAGGGACACACTACCATGCCCAGCTAATTCTTCTATTTTTTTTAGAGATGGGGTCTTGCTATGTTGTTCAGGCTGGTCTCAAACTCCTGGCCTCGAGTGATCCTCCTGCTTCAGCCTCCCAAAGTGCTAGGATTACAGGCATAAGCCACCTTACCCAGCCAGCTTTTGCTTTTATGAAAGGCTATATAGCAAAATGAAAAGAATATTTCTGACATATAATGGTTTCATCCAGTAAAATTTCATCAGCTCAAAAAAATTATATAGTTTTTAAATGGAAGTGAAACAGTAAGCAATTTATATAATGTTTAGGTTGTTGAGAAAACTAAAGTGGGGCATCTCTTAGCTTTCACACTGGAATGCAATCACAATGACTTATTCTCCATCATTATCAAACTGAAAGCAAATTCTGGAAAATTGCTACGTACCTGATATGTGTTGAGTGAAAAAGTCTTTCTAGTGGTTCACGTTTAGCACAACTGTAGAGGAGTGATTTAGGATTGGTGATAAGAACTACAGGCCACTCGCCAAAGGTCAAATCTGCAAAGCTAAAGAGGTCATGATCAAAAGCAAAGATCCGGTACCTGGAGACCAGAGGATAATAAGGTAACTTAGTCACTTCATTTTATAAGAGGCCATGAAGATAATATACAGAACAAATATAAAAATACAAAACTAGGACTTTTTTTTTACATTATGAATTTGAATACAGAGTAAATAATATTGTTTCTCTGTCTTTCTTCCCTTGCCCCTATCACTTTATCCCTCTCACATCTGTCATATCAACTGGGCTCTCATCGAGGCAATGAATTTACCTCTGCCCTAGAACAATACCTGGTACAAAGCATGCACTCTTTAATTTTTAAATAAATACGTATCGAAGTCATTCATTTTATTCCTATACTTTAAGACTAATTTGAACCTAATACATTCATCATAAGTCTAATACCTGACATTCTTCATCCCACCAATAATGCTACATAAAATATTAAAATGGTTGATATGAACATAATTAGAAACCTTTCATGCTTCTTTTATACCATTATTTCTATAATTTCAAAGAAATTAAAGTTGTTTTCATTTTCCAAATGCAACAGCAAAAGGAATAAAATATTCATTAAAGAGTAATCTAAGTTTTATATTTTCTAACTTTTAGAAATGAGAGAAGAAAGGATTGACTATGGTAGAAACCATAGTGCTCACCAAATACTCTACATGCTCCCCTGAACATCCCAGTCTCCCTGGTATTAAGTTGGGACCATGTGACTAGTTCTGGCCAATGGGCTGTGAACAGAAATGACATGTATCATGCCTCTGGTCCAAAGTACTTAAGAGTTAGTATGAGTTCTCTGTGCTCTCTTCCCTGCCCTGGAATTGACATGTTGAAATAGTGGCATTATAAGATGGAGGAAGTCTGTATCCCTGACTCAATCCATGGAGAAGAGTTGCTTTGACTCATACTTGATTTATATGAATAAAAAACATATGTTAAGCCACTGATATTTCTAGATTTATCTGCATCTACAACAAGGCCTAGCCTAATATTACTAATATACTGTTTTTAAAAATTTTTCTATTCTAACTAATCCAATTTAAATGTTTATAAAGGTGGATAAAAATTAGATCCTTTCAGTACACTCCAGATAAAATCCCAAGGTTGGAACACAGGAAAGCGGCTGGGAGACAAAGAAAGGAAATGATTTCATAATTAACATCACAACTTGTAACTGTATATTTAGGAGAAATAAAGAAGCTGATCAAGGTTTAGGAAGGCTATCTGACAACAGGCAATCACAGCCCAGACCACAGCCTCACAGCCATGAATAGACAGGTCTTAGCTGAAAGTAATTATAGTTGCCAACTAATTACAGCCTTCTAGTGTAACTCTTACACAGTTTCTGGAAAAGCCAATCAAAATATGGAAGTACCTTCCAAGATGTAAAGCTACTTTTTAATTAATGAAAGTAGTTAAAAATAAAAAGATAACATATCAGGTCAACAAATATTTGTTACATGCCTAATATCTTGAGAGAGAGTTTGAATAAATTAAATAACTGTAATATTAAACAATTAGATGTTAAACAATGAGATGATAACCCTCTATACTTGGTAAACTATTTCACTTAAATACTTCTCAAAAAAAGAAAAAATGTATATCTAACTAAATTATATGATTTTGATAAATACATTATTTTCTGTTAGAGAGACTTTAATAAAACTAACTACTATCTATTTGAAGAACTTGAATCACTAATATCTTATAGCAATAATTATTATGGTAGATATAAAATTCAGGGGAAAGAATTGACATTTCTAGACTAGTGTTTCTCAAAGTATGATCCATAGACCACCTAGTGGGCTTTTAAAAAATGCAGTTTCTTGGTCCCTAACACAGACCAACACAATCAAAATCTCTAAACGGAGGGCCTGAAAATTTTTATTTTTAATAAGCTCCTCTATAATTCTTAGAGTTTGAGACTATTTCCTTATGGCTGCATCTTGAAAACCCAATGTAACATAGTGACAGTAAACACTGCTGCTGTGACAAGGTTTTTGCAAAATGACAAAGATTGCCAGATACATACATTACTTTAAGAAAACAGAAATATCACAAGTTTTTCCTTAACTGAGATCACCCATGATAAAAATAAGAAAACTATCATTGCTTTAGCAAAACTTATGTGTATAAGTTCTATTTTGTGAGGTAGTTCCCTTACCTTCTATTATCCTTCCAGTCTCCCACCTCAAGTTCCAAAGTGCCCTGGAAGTGACGAGTGTGCAAAACAGGCATCAGTCCACCAAGTGTATGGAGATGCCCACACATATAAGCTGTAGCCAAACTAACCAATGAAAAATAAATGGAAAAAATGAATAAAGATAACTTGTGATGCCAAACTAATAAAAATGTCTCTTCAGAAAAGTAAGATAGTTACAGCAACATAAAAGAACTAAAAACAATTAATTTTGATTTTGGGAGTCTGTCTCACCTCATTATTGACCGGATTCCTGGTGGTGGAGAAAGTATAGTGGATGTTGTAAAGTGTCCAAACCAAATCGTGTGGTTGCTCTGACTACTTTCCTTGGCCAATGATAAGAGCTCCTCCATTCTTTTCTGAAATGGAAGAAAAATGGAAGGATCATAAATTAAGGCTCAGGATGAAACCTAATGTCAATAGAGGAAAAAACTCCCCTGAAGTTTTATAATAATTATTATATTATATCTAGGGCTTAAACCCTACTAGTCAATGACCTGTATGGACCTCTGTAAGTTTCAAACTGTTTTCACATACAATTCATTTGATCCTAAAACACACACTGCAGTAAGTAGGGCAGGTATTATCCTCGTTTGATAGATAAGGAAATTGAGAAATAAAGACGTCACCACTAATCTTTTCAGCTTTGCAGTTAACAAAGAGGACATTGAAACAAAACTTCTAAAATAACGTCACAGAAGGACTTGTACCTAAATGTTCATAATAGCTCTATTCATAATAGCCAAAATCTAGAAACCATAAACAAATTGCAATACAACTATACAATGGAATATTACTTAGCAATAAAAAAGAAAGAACTACTGATACACACAACCATATGGATGAATCTCAGAAACATTATACTGAGCAAAAGAAGCAAGACCCAAGAGTGCGTACTGTATGATTTCATTTATACAGAATTTTAGAACAAACAAAACTAATCTACATTGATAGAAAACCAATCAGTTGTTCCTTAGGAGATGAAGACAGACTGTACAAGAAGACTTTCTAGGGTGATGGAAATGTTCTATGTCTTGATTGTGGTGACAGTTGTACCAGTATATACATTTGTCAACACTCTTCAAACACTTAAAAGTGAGCCTATCTTATTATATACAAATCATACTTCATTTGCACATAGTAAATATGCATTAATATTATCTATAAGATACTTACAGTAATAAATTTCTGAGCCCTACCCTCAGGGTTTCTAATTTGGTAGGTTTGGGATAAGGCCAGGGAATTTGCATTTTATTACATTCCAGTTGATATTTATGCATATGATCCTTGAATCCTACCTTAAAAAACACTATTCTAAGGAATAGGACTTAATATAAGTTGTTATTAATAATCAACCCTAACGATACTTGGCAGATAGGAAACAAAATATAACCTAATTAAATAAAATGTCTAACTTAACAATGTACTTAACAACATTCTGTTCACTTGATTTCAACCTCTTTTGAACCATCTTAGTTCTCTGAACCTGTTAGTTCTAACTTAGCAAATTCTGCTCTTTTTAAATAGTTATTTTTATATTGGTCTTATATCCCACCACTAGGACTAAATACTTTAAGAGGCCAGGAACTTGATCTTATCACCTTTGTATTCTTTCATATGGGCACAAATGTCTTGCTTAGGAGCCTGTGCTCATTAGTGAGTTGGCATTTGTTGTACCAAGAAATAATGAGAGGTTCTCAGATGTGATTTCCAGACAGTTTCAATCCAGCAACGATTTCCACCTAACCTTGCCAAAAATACTTTAAAAGAAACTTATCTAATTGAATTGTTGTTCTTCTCTTGTTAACTAAATATATAGACCACTAGTTATAATTAGTAATTTGGGGGACTTAGGAATATACCGTGCGTACACAAAGCTGTATGCCCTGCACCTTGCAAAGTGCATCCTGAACTTAGGACATATTTGTTAAATGTTTACTGAATAAATATAAAGTGTGAGGTACTTCTTTACCAGATTTTGGGACAAGAACAGGGATAGCAATAATAGTGCTAAAGTCGCCAGTAACTTCTAGCCACACCTGTAACCAAGTAAAATTTTTCTTGAACATTTCCAGATAAGAATTTGCATAGGATAACTTTAAGTGATCCACATATAATCAAGAAAAAATAAAATAGGTAAGCTACAAAGGGAAGTAAGATTTTTACTGTACCTTATCTAAAATTCCAAAGAAATTATAGGGTCTCTTAGGCCCTGGATTTATGGTGGCATCCACATAGATGAAAGAATAGTTGCCAAAGGGAGTACTGTGGATATAATGGAAAGAGCCATCCCTACGTACAGCAGAATATTTCCTAAAAAATACAAGACAGGAAAGTTTTAGTGCAATCATGAAAAGACAGGATGCATTTAAATTCCTTCCCTAATACTATACTAGATTTTGCTTCCCTCTGAAAAGGAGATTTACTAATCTAACAGAGAAATACACTAAACTAGATCCACAATGGATAAACCGATTAAAAGAAATTTCAAAGTTTTTCTATGGTTGTCTCCAAAGAGTCATGCAAACTAATTCATCAATAACCAAACACAAGTTCACTATGTAAAGCAGAGAAGTAAGATGACTATTTTAGGCAGTCCACTAAACATTTAGAAAGAAATGAATCAGAATCCAGTGAAATGGTATTTATCAATCATTTAAAAATTTAGTGATGGGGGTGAAAAAAATTTTTTTTTAATTTAGTGGGAGCCTACTATGTACCTAGAAGAATTCTTGGTGTAGTGAGATTTAAAAAAGATGTTTTCTTCTTGAAACAGGACTACAGAGGGTTAATTCACAAGAAAGATTTGCAAAGATGAAGCCAGAAGAAAAATGTTAGTCTAGGTCTGGGAGAGTAAATCTTTATCAGTTCCTAAAAATATATTGATAACTTGCACCCTATCAAAGTCCTAAAAATATATTGATAACATAACATCCTATGAAAGTCCTCACCACTATAAGTATCAACAGTGTTCAGGTATTCATAAAATTGCAGTGTGAAAGGCAGGGAGAAAGGATGGGTAATAATGCAGAGTAGGCACTCATTAAGTATTTGTCAAATAAATGAGACGGAAAGTATAGATTATATTGGGGGCATACCTGTATTAATCAAATGTCAGAAAATTATACAAAAAGTTAGTATCATTTTTTATCTAAGTGTCTTACATGATGTTTTACCTAAGAGCACATATAAAAA